TGTTGTTTGAAAATTCTCTCCTCAGCGATCCAAAGTGTAACGAGATATGACATTTCGTAATGTGACACCACCGTCAAGCAATTCACAATACTACGGAAATTCAGCAAGAAATTTCTCACACAGTTGTTGTCGTGCTTGTCGTCAACACAATGCCTCAAGTCTTTATCAATAGCGTTCACGTACTCTTGCAAATCCTCATATTACTTCAACCTAACTGTTTGCTTACCAACGTTTCCTCATATCATTCATTAATCAGCTGAATCCAACGTTGTAACCATATAATGATTATTTATACGTTCCATCTAGTGAACGTATTCAGAGGAAAGTTTCAAATCATAAAAACGAGATTCCACTTGAATTTTGATACAATTTTGATGGAGCCACACAAACCGTAACATATAAGCTGACTATCGATGTGATCAAATTCAAAGAGGATCGTTTTCGCTGTAATTTCAAGTGTGAGCGCTTCTGCTTGACCAAATCCAATATTTTCGTAAACATGTGTGAGAAATTGTGTTTACGAAACGGGATTCCGTGCATCCTGGATCTCAATCCTGATTCGAGGCTCGTTGGCCGAAAAAAATGGTGGGATTTAGAATTTAATGAAACACCGCATTCTGTATGATTTCGGTGATATACTTAATTTGCGTTAGACATTGATCATTTACGGCTCATTTAAATTCACATTTGTTGTTGACAATACTTTTGCTGACAAATACAGGATACAAGTTTATGGGAATTCAGCAGTTTTGTTGACAAACGAGACAGACTCATTTTGAAGTGCTGAACTGCCGGAAAGTCGTGCCTTATGATAGAAATAATTATGTATACCGCCGCATGACAATCCCTGAATTGCATTTGCAAAAATAAATGAAGGAAAAACTCAGAGAATATGAAAAGATTATTCAGATCGGTTGATATGATGCCACTGAAGAGCGTCTAAAGTGAACCAGCTATCTGTCTGTATTTCCACTGAAAGGCGTTGAATGCAAACGAGAATCTTCACAGGCAAATGAATGAACGACTCAAATTTTCAATGGTTTGATATTCTCCTCATTTATCATCAAATATATTAAACAAATTACAAACAAATGTGTTACGCACGCCTGATTACATTATAATAACACAATAACACCGAAAGTACAGTCAGTCAATCAGTTCATTTTGAAAACACCAAAGTACTTAGCAACTTCTTTCACATGTTTTCACTGAATGAACATGTCATGCTCTAGAGCAATGCTCATTTTGCCAATCTCATTGAAAAAGACATCGAAATTTGCAATCAATTTGAGGAGGGGTAGGGGCAGGGAGGAACGATTCCGAATTTGTTCCTAGCAAAACTTTGAAATTTGTTTTGGAAGCTCTCACTAAGACGAAGCAAAATAATCATTTAATCCTAAACTTTTGCAACAAAACAGTTTCGATTCCACTGAGTGACGAAGCCAAAAAATAAAACTTATTGAAGAACAAATTGAGAACGTTTAGAATCGGATCATATGCTTGCATTATGCCATATGATCGAAGGATTTTGCAAATTACAAAAAGAAAGTAAGAAACAGATCTGTACTAATGGATCACGAACACTGATCTGGTGACATTGAAAAAGAAATTGACTGAGATAAGCAGAGGAGAGATTAG